GTCACGTCCCCTCTCTCTTCCACAGGAGGCCTACACGCCGCCGTTGTTGCCGCCGCTATGGTAAGACTGGAATCCGTGCGGGGATCCGGCGACATCGGAACCCAGGCAGGGAAAGCTTGCTGTCAGAACACCGAGGATGGCCTGTTTTGAGGGCCTGCAGCTTCCTGCGTGGGGCCTTGGATCGCAGCCTTGGGAAGGGACGACCAAAGACTTGGAGTTCCCGGGAGCAGGGCCCGAGGAAGGGTCACACTCCCCGGGCGCACGAAAGTTGCCAGAGGCTTGGGCGTGTGTGGCAACCTCCAGCCTCCGCCACTCAGCGTACTTTTGGGAACGGCCGACGTGCGCCTTCCAGAGTTTGCATTTTCCCAGGCTTGGTCGTTTCGTGTTCCAGCTTTCTGAGGACTGAGGAGTTTGTTGTGTGAGAACCTGAGAGCAGGAGGGGTCGTTGCTCCCAGTGTGACAAGCTTAATGCTCTGTTGGAGGTTGTTTGCCTTAGAGACCTTACAGTTGGTTGGTAGTTCAGGGTCTCTGATCTCTCCCCTGTGCTCTTTCAGTCTCTAGTGATCCCTGAGAAGTTCCAGCACATTTTGCGAGTACTCAACACCAACATCGATGGGCGGCGGAAAATAGCCTTTGCCATCACTGCCATTAAGGTAAAGCAGAGTAAGGGGTAAAGAATTTCAGTGAAACAGGTTGTCCCAACCTACACTGTAAAACAGACAAGGCTGCGTCCCATCTGTGTCACTTCAACTCCTGGGGTAGGAGAATAATTAAGGGAGTAACTAATAATCCCTTTAGAATATTTACACAAAAGGTAAGCTACGAAAGCCAGACAGTGGTCTGAAGTCAAGCCAAAACATTTCACACGGGCAGGTGGGCTATGGCCCCGGTTGCCTACAGACTTGCCTCAAATTTTCGTGAACCTTCAGTTTTGAGAGGTCCTTTCTGATTCGGTTTCTTCCGGCCTAACTTTCTCCTCCAGTGCATCATAACAGAAACCCTTGTAATATATGTTCCCTAAAATCTGGGTGATTTCTGTACATTTGAGGTGAGTAGAACTGTCGATAAATCCCAAGCGTGAAGTTGAAGTAGGGTGGTGTGAACAGGGCATGTACTCCCGCGTTAGTGCTTCTTTGTTACTGATGAAGTGGAGACCAGCGTGGTTTTGGCTTTTTGCTATTGAAATGATGGATGCAAAGTTGGATGTCTCACTTCACAAAGCTAGGAAAGTCCAGGTCTTCCAAAAGAAGACGTTACAATTTTTTTAATCAAAATACATAAACGAAATCGGTATTGCACACTCCATGGGGTAGGGCTGGACCTGTGTGTTTTGACCATCCCCAGCTCCTGATGTATGGTGGGGTCTCGTGCATTGTTGGGGAATGGGTGGTACCAGGGATACTATTGCCTGATTTTGAGGAATTTAAGTTGAAGTGGTAAGTTCTTTATACAGGGGATAAAAAAAAGGGAGCCCATTTAGTTGGAGGAAGCTCACATAGGATTGATGTTTCTCAAAAGATCATTTACAGGGCTGGGGATTTAGCTCAGTGGTTCTGCCGCCTGCCTTGCAAACACAAGGTTCCAAGTTCGATCCCCAGTATCAAAAAAAAAAAAGAGATAGTTTACAGGGTAAAACATAGCTTTAATAAAGTTTGTCATGTTCACTTCATTGTCCTGCAGAAAACACAACTTTCATTTGTTTTCAAATGGTTTAGAGGAAGATTGCGTCTTTTGGAAGCTGGAACTAACAAGGCAGTGCAAAGTACAATGCTTATTTAGAGGTTACTGTAAGGCAGACAGGAGATAATGAAATAGTAAAAAGATGAGCATGGTGAGTGTGCAGCACCTGTGCGCTCCCTCTTTAAAGTTGAGTCGTGTTTGTTACTTGCAGTGACCTATATGTAGTCAACTCATAGAGAAGCAATTTAATCAAGGCACATTTGGGTGCTTGGTGAGGGGCTGAGGTAGCATCTCTTGGGGATCTTGATGTCCTGCTTATTTCTGGGAAAGGCTGCTCTCTAGCTTTGGTGCATACTAAGGTTTCCGTTAGTTGTGTGGAAAGTCAGCAGGGACATCTCTTTACATATGATAGAACCAAAGCTTGTGGGGCCTGAAAAATTGAAAGGAGATGGGGGGGAGTGGGGGTGAGGGGGCTTCCTTCAAGGAGGTGGCCAAGTGGTGGTAAGAAAAGTGCCTTAAGCAAGAAAGTTTGGGGGGGTTGAGAATCAGCACAGATCGAATGAGGTGGTTCTGTGTTCGTGTCATCCTGGTTGTTGGTTTGAGACAGGGTCTACCTGAGTGACCTAACCTGGCCTGGAAGTCCTGATGCTCTCAGCTTCCCACAGTGCTGGGATTACAGGCCTGTTTTTTGTTTGTTGGTCTGCAGTTCAGCGATCCTCCTGCCTCATGGTCACCACTCCCTCCCAGCTTTGCTGTATTTTTTTTTTCTTTTTTTGCACAGGGGATCAAACTCAGGACCTTGTGCTTACAAGGCAGGCGTGGCCCCACTGAGCTAAATCCCAGGTCCTTGTGCTGTATTCTTTAAAGCTTATCTTCCCACCCTACCTCTGAATAGATTACTGCTATTAGTGAATTGTTTGTAAACTTGGGGGGGAATACCTGGGAAATGCCAGAAGTCTTTATTGAGAAACTCTAGTCCTGCCAAAATCTCCATGAATAACACTGCTTTGGATACTTTATTCACCAGCTAGGGATGTAGCTCCACAGTGCCTGCCTGCCAAGTGCCAAGCCGAGTCCATTCCTGGTACTTAAAAAAAAAAAACTTTGTACACAAAATTGGTATTGATTTTTTTGTAACATGATTGGGCCCTTAGATTGTAAATGTGAGAAAGTAACCCCCATGGTTGTGTACATATCTGGCCAGACTGGGCATGGTGACACCTGTAAAATTTGGCAAGGCATGTACCTCTGGTACCAGCTATTCCGGAGGCTAGAGCAGGATTATGAGTTTGAGGTCAGCATGGTTAACAGCAAGACCCTGTATCAGGAGGTAAATAAAAATGAGAAAAACTGCTTTTTGTACACCCACTCCCAGTCTGAAGTAAATGTCAGGCATACGGTTTTCGTGTAAGAAAACTTCAGAGAGACACCCTAATGTCCTGAGTCAACCAACAAATTCCTTCTCAGTTCGAGGCCAAAAGTCAGGATGTCAGCAGACCATGCTCACTCTGAAGGCGCCAAAGGCCCTGCCTTGCTTCTTCCTGCCTGCTGGTAATTTTCTTTGGCTCTTGGCTTGGAGCTACCGCCACCACACTGTGTTTCCCTTGTGTGGCTCGGGTTCACCAGTCACCGGATTTAGGGTCCCCTACTCGAGTGGAACCTAATTGCTTCTGCAAAGAGAACATAAAGTTACAATGCAAGGGTCTGGGTGGGCATCAGTGGGTAGGAGAAGGGAGCATTTACCCAGTCCAAGGGACCCCAAACACTGGGCATTGAGCCCAGAAAAAAAAAAGTCCAGGGGATATAGGTACTACATCTTTTTTTTTTTTGAGACAGGATAAGTTCCCGGGCTGTTGGGGTTGCACACCACCGAGCCAGCTCAAGGCTTAACCAAAGCTTGGCTCATGAGGTCAGGTGACAGGTGCCTGTGGTGGTGTTGCTCTGTCATCACTGATGATGAGCATTAACATAAGCTCTTTGTTGTGAGTATGACTTGAGCGGTTAGGTCCCTAGGTTACAGGTCATTTCTGCATGCTGATGGGAAATTTCAATCACTGTTGCCTTGTCCTGAGAAATCACGCAACTATCAATCCTACACCCGGATTGACTATTAACTAACAAGACCCTGTGTTGCTGCCTCAGCCTGGCAAAGTGGGCCGGCCTTTCCTGACAAGGCAGGAATGACAAGGCGCTTGGAGCTGCAGGGGAGGGCGTCCCGTCCCGCTTTTAGGGTGGTGCTGCATTTCTCTTCTGGGTCCAGGCCTCACCCCGAACAAAGCTGTCTTTGGTTTTTGAGGCAGTCTTACAGTGTACAGTGGTCTGGGCTGGCCTCAGCCTCGACTTAATGGTTAGGTTCCCATCTGGAAAGCTGGGTGAGGGAAGATGACTTGGGAAATTGGGAAGGGCTTGCAGGTCCTACCATTTTTGAACAGCGAGATTATAAGGGTAAGATCAGGTTCAAGCCCTGGTTCCCCTCTCACCGCAGGGTGTGGGGCGAAGATACGCTCATGTGGTGTTGAGGAAAGCAGACATCGACCTCACCAAGAGGGCTGGCGAGCTCACTGAGGACGAGGTGAGGACGGAAGAGGGGCTGGGGCTGGGGCCGGGCCGGCCCACCTTGGAAAGGCCGCCTGGGTCTGACCGCGGCCTACCTGTAGGTGGAACGCGTGATCACCATCATGCAGAACCCGCGACAGTACAAGATCCCAGACTGGTTCCTGAACAGACAGAAGGATGTGAAGGACGGGAAGTACAGCCAGGTGTGTGGTGGGACAGGGCCTTGGGAGTGGGACGGGTGAGACTGGCCAGGGAGGAAGGCCCACGACGCCCACCTCCAAATCCAGGTTCTGGCCAACGGTCTGGACAACAAGCTCCGCGAGGACCTGGAGCGCCTGAAGAAGATCCGGGCCCACAGGGGCCTGCGCCACTTCTGGGGGTGAGTAGGAGCGGCTCCGCCCCCTGCCTGCTCTGGGCTGCTGGGTGTGTGCTACCCGTGACCCTGACCCTTCGCCCGCAGCCTTCGAGTCCGAGGCCAGCACACGAAGACCACGGGACGCCGGGGCCGCACCGTGGGTGTGTCCAAGAAGAAATGAGTCTAGGCCTTCTCATTAATAAATAGTTTATATACCTGCGGCTCCCTTTGTTGTTTCTCCATTCTTCCCCGCGGATGGCATTCGGCGCCGCCGCCTTGTCGTGCCCTGCTGGTGCTTTGTTCTCCGGTTCAGCTCAGCCCAAGGGGTCTCGCTGCCCCGGCGATGCCCCTGAAGACCCTGTGCACGGCCGGAAAGGGGGAACCCGAGCCACGCGCCGGGGGAGGGGCAGGGGAGGGCGCGCCCGGCGCAGATCATCTATCTAGATTGAGTCCGCGGAGCGGCGGGGGTGGGGTGCAGGTCCCTGCTTCCGGCAGGCGCGGGAGGGAGGGAGGGGCTGAAGGAAGCGGACTCTGGGCACAGCACGAGCCTTGCGCCTGCACCTGCTGAGGGCTGCATCCAGGGGTGCGGCCGGTCCTCGGTCCTCTGCGTGCTCCCGCCCCTCCAGCTTCGCTCTGCGCCGGCCCGCCCGCCATGCCCCGCAGCCTCTTCCGGCGCCTTCTCTTGGCCGCGCTGCTGCTGCTGATGCTCTGGGTCCTCTTCGGGCCCTCGGGCTTGGGGGAGGAGCTGCTGAGCCTCTCGCTGGCGTCCCTGCTCCCGGCCCCCGCCTCGTCGGGGCCGCCCCTGCCCCTGCCCCGCCTCCTGATCCCCAACCCCAAGGCCTGCGGAGGTCCCGGCACCCCGCCCTTCCTGCTGATCCTGGTGTGCACGGCCCCCGACAACCGGAACCAGAGGGACGCCATCCGGGCCACGTGGGGCGGCCTGCGCCAGGCCAGGGGGCGCAGGGTGCGGACGCTCTTCATGCTGGGAGAGCCCCCCGGCAGCTCCCCCGAGGACCTGGCCCGGGAGTCGGCGGCCCAGGGGGACATCGTGCAGGCCGCCTTCCAGGACACCTACCGCAACCTCACCCTCAAGACCCTCGTGGGGCTGAACTGGGCCAGCACGCACTGCCCCAAGGCCCGCTATGTCCTCAAGACAGACGACGATGTGTACGTCAACGTCCCAGAGCTGGTGTCCGAGCTGACCCGACGAGGTGGCCCTTGGCAGCCACAGGAGAGGGGCACAGAGCCCCAGGAAGAGACTGCGATTGTCAGGGAGGGCCGCGCCGTGGCGAGCAGGGCAGTGCCACTTCTGTACCTAGGCCGGGTACACTGGCGGGTGAGGCCCTCTCGGGCCCCAGGAGGCCGCCACCTGGTATCAGAAGCGCAGTGGCCTCCAACCTGGGGCCCCTTCCCACCCTACGCCTCGGGCACGGGGTACGTGCTGTCCTCCTCCGCTGTGCAGCTCATTCTCAGGGTGGCGGGCCGGGTACCCGCGCTGCCACTGGAGGACGTGTTTGTGGGAGTGAGTGCGCGGCGGGGCGGCCTCGCCCCTACCCACTGTGTCAAGCTGGCTGGCGCCACCCACTACCCCCTGGACCGGTGCTGCTACGGGAGACTCCTGCTGACCTCCCACAGGCTGGACCCGGGGCAGATGCGGGCGGCCTGGGAGCTGCTGCACGAGGAAAGCCCCGGCCCCTTCTGCTCCTGGCTCCAGGGCGCCCTGGGCATCCTGCGGTGCCGGGTCATAGCCTGGCTGCATAACTGAGTAACTGAGTACCGGGACCACGGGAGAGGAGCTGTGGGTCCAGCCAGCACCCGAGGCCTTGCCTTCCTCACACCAGACCCCCAGTCTCGCCAGAGCATGAAGTGGCACGGCCTGCCTGCTCATCCCAAAGACAGATCCCAGGAAAAGAGAAATGCTGTTCCCTCCAGCCGGCCCGACACGACCCGTCAATAAACTTGTTTCTCCAACTGCAGTGTCTTCCCCGGGACTCCTGGAGGCTGAGTGGGCTGGGTGGGAAGGATGCCCCCAGGGACGGGGGAGGGGGACAGCTGCTCTGGGGAAAAGACTCCTAACAGGTGAGGCTAAGGCCACACGAGCACAAGGGACGGGCAGGAATGGGGAGGACGCTGACCCTTCTCAGCCCAGGACGGCCAGTGTCCCAAAACTTGTTCTTTAATTCGGACCCACCCAAAGAGCCCACTGTCCTGTCCTGCCAGGGGACAAACATTTCCCTCCAGGTGACCTTAGGGACTGGTCACTGTTCCCAGGCCACCATGGAGCCTGGCTCAACGCACGAATCTGTCCAGGGCAGACAGCTGCGTCCCTGTGGGCTTGGCCTTTTGCTTCTGCTGCTGCTGCTGCTGCTGCTGCTCCTCAAGGCTCTGCCGGACTTTGTCCTGGGAACAGGGAGAAGGGGAGGACACAGGGCAGGGTGAGCATGGCAGCGGAAGTGGAGTGCACCCCGCAGGCCCGCCCCGCCCGAGCGCCCTTACCCTGTGCTCCTGGCCCTGGACCTTCTTCTTCCTCCTCACCAGGCTGGCTGTGGAGCTGCGGCCCTTCTGCTTCGGCTTTGGCTGGAAGGGCGCCTTGGCCTCGGGGTCGAAGCCCTGAGGGGAGGACAGGAGTGGAATCGGTAACAGCCTGAGAGGCAGCACCCACCTGCGGGAGCCAGGCCCAGGCAGCAGGACAGGGGCTGAGGAGGCGACTGGGCGCTCAGGGGCTCCGTACCAGCCTCTCTATTCGTTCCTTCTTCTGCTGCTCCAGAGAGATGAGGTCAACCTCCGCCAGGGCGCGGGGGTTCAGGCAGATGAGCTCTGCAGGCACCTGGGAGTGTCACGGGGGAACCATGAGACAGGCGCCAGGGCGCCTGCTGAGCCCCTCTCCAAGCCCCGCACGGGAGCGCTGGGGAGCTGTGCCCAGCCTCAGCACACGGGGACACCTGCCCCAGCGGGGGGCTCACCTTCTCCAGCAAGGCTTTCACCTCCCACTCCTGCCGCTGCTTGCGGCTTCGGTACGGGTTGCTCTCCAGGCCATCAAAGTTGGGCTCAGCAGCCCCTGGGGGCGCAGGAAAATGGAGCATGGAAGACCCCGGTGCTGCAGCTTCAGCCGGCCAAGCCCTTACCTGTCCCCTGCTGCCCCCCTGAAACAGGCCCCAGTTCACTCACCCGGGACCAGCATGCTGGTGATGCCGACACTGTGCCCGATCCCCAGCACGTCCTCAAAGGGGCAGAACTGCAGACTGTGCACGGGGCCGGCCACCCGGTGGGTGAGGTAGGGCTGCTCCAGGGAGGGGAGGCTGGCCTTGCCCTGCCCCGCCCATACGTTGACCACGTCACCCATGCCTGCAGCCAGCAGCCCCCGCTGGGAAAAGGCCAGGTGCCCTGCTCCCTGCGGCAGCGTCCGAGCGCTCAGAGGCTGGAACGTCCCTCGCAGGTCAAAGACCTTCAGCTGGTGGTCCAGGCCAGAGGTGGCCATGTACCTGGGGACAGGGGGTTGGGTCATCTGTCCAAGTGGGGTGCTGAGGCCCATAGCCAGGCCCACGTGTTGATCTGAACGGCAGGGAACACGCACTCCCACCGTACGACACACTCGGCTAAGCTCCCGCAACTCGGCACTGACTCCTTCTACAGTTGAGACTGACGCCCAGGGAAAGGAGATCCGGGCTAGTGTGCAGCTGAGCCGGAAGTCAGGCCCGTCTCTTTAGGCTCTGCCCTTCACACATGCGAGGCTCGAAGGGAGAACTCATGCCAGCCCACCCTAAGTGCGCTGTCTGGCTGCACACAGGCAGCAGAGCAGCTCGGCAGAGGGGAAGGGCGCTGTGGTGATCAGGGGCGCTTCCCGGAAGGGCAGGCTCGGGTCTGTGCTGGGTAATTCACAAGAAAGCACGAGAAACAGAGCAGATCCAGATGCATAAACACCAGACAGCAGACACTGAAAAGGAAATGTGTCGACGGGCATGGAAAGGGGACAAATGCTGTGCTTCCGTGCTCAGACTGAGGAGCCACGGTCATTATCCTGTGCGCCTGGCAGGGACACATCACAAGTTGGAGGCCACACGAACTTGAGAAAACCTGTTTAGGAAGCAGGACAGTGATGCAAGAGAGGACCCTGCATGCCCTTTGCTTTCCCTAGAAGGAAGGAGGGTAGCTGGTCATGGTGGTGAACACCTGTAATCCCAGCACTCAGGGAGGCCAAGGCAGGAGGATCCCAGGTTCAAGCTTTTCTTGGGTAACTTAGCAACTTAGTGAGACCCTGTCTCAAAATACAAAATGGATTGTAGGGGATTTAGCTCAGTGGTTCTTCCACCTGCCTCAAAATTGCAAAGTCCCAAGTTCTATCCCCAGTACAAAAAAAAATTATTATTTTTTGTTTGTTTTGGGGTTTTTTTGAGATTGGGTCTTGCTATGTAGTCCAGGCTGACCTTGAACTCACTATGTGGCCCAGGCTGGCCTCAAACTTGTGACAATAAGGGGCCGGGGATTTAGCTCAGTGGTACCTTGCCTGCCTCAAAAGTGCAAGGTCCTGAGTTCACCCCCCCCCAGTTGGGGGGGGGGTACTTGCAGCGATCCTCCTGCCTCAGCCTCCCAAGTGCTGAAATCCCAGGCATGCACCACCATGCCCAGCTTCAAAATAAAAAATTTTAAAAGGGGTGGGGAGATATAGCTCAATGCAAAGGCCAGAGGTTCAATCTGTAGCACCATAAAACACACACACACACACAAAATGAATATATAAATAAAACACACATACAAAATAGGGAGTGAGCCGGGGATTTAGCTCAGTGGTTCCGCCGCCTGCCTCACAAGCCCAAGGACCCGAGTTTGATCTCTGGTACCAACAAAACAAAACAGGGAGGGAGGGAGGGAAAGGCTGGAAAGCTGCTTACACTGCCTGTTTTTCACTTCCCCCTGCCTCAGGCTCCCCGAATCCTAGGCTGTGGCCCCAAGCCTGGCAAGTTGTTTACTTTCCGAAGCTGGAGTCACTACCTGTCCCAGTTGTCCCTCAGAGAGGGAGGCTGAAGGAGAACTAATCAGGCCAGGGACACTTCTTTGCCAAGGGACAATGGACTCTCCTTGGCCTTGGCCACGCATCCAGCAGGGGGCACTGAAGAGCTCCTATGAGACAGACGTGTCGTGCGCAGGAGCCAGTACAGCCCTAGCTGGACCTTCCTCCTGATAAGAAAGCTGGGTAAATGGTCATGGGTACAAGTCAGGAACGACCAGCACCTCAACTGCAGAGCAGAAGCAGGTTCGTCTCCCAGTCACATACCCACCATGGGGCTGGGGATTTAGCTCAGCGGTTCTGCCACCTGCTTCACAAGTGCAAGGTCCTGAGTTCCACCCCAGGTACCAAAAAACAAAACAAAACACCATACCCACCACAGGAGCTCCGGACAAATAGCAGCCCAGTGCCAGACTGGAGCCCAGCCTTCACACTGAGCCACATCCCCAGCCTTTTTAACTCAGTTTTTAAACTCTGACAGGGTCTTGCTAAGTAGCTAAGTTGCCCAAGCGGGGCTCAAATTTGCCACCCTCCTGCCTCAGCCTCCCAGAGTCCTGTGATTGTAGGTGTGCACCAGCCCACGCAGTTTAGTCAATCCACTTTTTTGTTGTTGCTGTTGAGTTTTGTTTTGTCTCACTTTTTGATATTGGGGATCAAACTCAGGACCTTGTGCTTTCGAGGCAGGCGATGGCACCACTGAGCTAAATCCCTGGCTAGTCAATCCACTTTTTTTTTTTGGTACCAGGGACTGAACTCGGATCCTTCTGGTTGCAAGGCAGGTGGCGGAACCACTGAGCTAAATTCCCAGCCCTTAGCGAATCTACTTTTAATGCACGTTTCCAGAAAACCTCTTGAAAAAAAGGTCACCTTCATCTCTGGAGCCCTATGGCCTGCGAAGAGCTCCTGAGGAGGACCAGCAATACACACAGCGACAGACCTAAGGCCAATGACCAAGATCAAGGGCTGGGGATGAAGCTCAGAGGTAGACACTTAGCTAGCATCCGCCAGCCCTGGGTTCAATCCCACGGAGAGAGAAGAAAAGAAAGAAAAGGAAACCAGAACCATTCAGCTGTTTTGTTTTGTTTCTTTTTTTTTGAGACAGGGCCTCACTATGTAGCCAAGGTTGACCTGGAACTAATGGCGATCCTCCTGCCTCAGCCTCCTAGTGCTGGGATTACACATTTGTGCCACCATACCTGCCCTGTGTGGTTTTTGTTCTGTTTTATTTTTCAGCAACAAACTGTTAACTTAACCCTGGGACTCAGTGAACCAAGGGATCAAGTCCTAGACCCAGAAGCCCAGAGAAGGTGAATGACAGCCTGGCCCTGAGGCCCACAGAAGGCAGAAGGCCTCGGGCAGGCCCACTCTCCGGGGCCAGACCTGGCCACAAAGACACAATCGTGAGGCCTCTTGGAAAGTTGGTTGGCTTTTGTTTTACTGATTTTCTTAATCTGAAAGTAAAGTGAGCGGTCTAGAGTGAAGAGAAGATTCTCGAGCAGCAGTGTGAAAGCAGGAAAGCAGCGCGAGGGGGAACAGTCTGACAACAGCACCCAGGGCAGGCCAGGAAGAGCTGCAGCCTGGAATCCTGTATCCCTGCTGCCCAGGAGATGACAGGAGAAAGGCCACGGAAGGCCACCAAAGTGCCAGAGCCTGGACACCCAGGAAGCACTCAGCCAACGGTGCTTTTGGATTCCTGCAGTTGCTGATGGCAGAGGAACTTGGGGCTTTGTGGCAAGCTACATGGGAGTCAAAGAATTCAA